CAGGGAAGGGCAGGAGGAGGAGGAGGAGGATGACTTCGATGATTTCACCCAGGACGAGGACGAGGAGATGTCGTCGGCCTCCGAAGAGTCCGTTCTGTCAGTGCCAGAGCTCCAGGTAAAAACTAAACTTTTAATTTAAAAGGCTCGCTGGTGGAACTGAGGGTGTCCTGAAACAGTCTGAGGGCTCAGGGCAGAACAGGTGGGAGTTCAGCTGGAAAGGTGGGATGAAAGCTCTGGAGTAACACTTCTGAAAAAAAATAAATAAATAAATTGATTAATAATTCATTGATTGATAACAGGCACCACAAACCCCCAGGCCCCAAGAGCCTCCCCTTTCCCAGTACCTTCCACCAGGGATGGGGGAAAGTGTTGGGAAAGGGGGCCCATTTTCATGCTAAACTGTAACACTTCAGAGGGAAATAAATAAAAAAATAGACAGATAGATAAAATAATTAATTAATTAACTAATAACAGCCTCCACAAACCCCCAGGACCCAAAGCCACCCTCCCCTTCCCCATACCTTCCACCAGGGATTGGGGGGAAGCTTTGGGAAAGGGACCTGTTTTTATGCTAAACTGTAACACTTCAGAGGGAAATAAATAAAAAGATAGATACATAGATAGATACATAGATAGACAGATAAAATAATTAATTAATTAACTAATAACAGCCTGCACAAACCCCCAGGCCCCAAGAGCCCCCCCTTTCCCAATACCTTCCACCCGGGATGGGGGGAAGCTTTGGGAAAGGGGCCTGTTTTTGTGCTAAACTGTAACACTTCAGAGGGAAATAAGTAAAAATATAGACAAATAGACATGCAGACAGACAGATAGATACCTTGGCATCGTGCTGTTCACAGAGAAATTGGACACCAGGTTTTCCTGAGCAGATTTCAAGTCCAAAGCTGAGGGAGGGTATTTGAAAATACACAGATTTAAACTCCTCATCGAGGCTACTCTTTAACAAGAAGTGCTTCGAGGGACAGTTTATTTTCCAGGTCACAGTTCCAGCAGGCCTGTAAGAGCCAAGATTGATCCTTGTGGAATCCTACCTCTGGCTCAAGGCCTGACCTGCTGAATGGCAGAGTCTGAACTTTTAATTCTTTACAGTAAAAAAAAAAAACCTGGGCGGCTCTGGAGGGTTTTGAATTCTGTTCATCATGGAATTTTGGGCAGATGCTGCTCTTGGAATCGTGGTGCAGGGAGGGGGTTGCTGAAGGATATTTAAACAAACAGTAAAATTAAACAGTGTGATGTTCTTCTGTTCTGCTTTCTAAGGAGACCATGGAAAAACTCACTTGGCTCGCAACAGAGAGACGTTTGAGCCAGGAGGGGGATTCCGAAGAGGAGAATTCCCAGGAAGAGAACTCTGAGCCTGAGGAAGAGGAGGAGGAGGAAGGGGAAGGGATAGAGAGTTCACAGAAAGATGATGAAACGTGTGGAGATACCTCAGAGGAGCCCAAATCTGCCTTCACGCTGGCAAAGGCAGCTTCCCCCCAGGTGGAGACCCACAGGACTCCAGCAGGTGAGGGCTGGGGGTTTGCTGGGAGTGGGGAAATGGAACTGCTCTTCTGTGGAAAGCAGGAACTTTCAATGAAATTAAACCCTTCCTGGTTTGATTTCACTGAGTGTGTCTGAGCTCTGTGCTGCTTTTAACCTGGAACTGCAATTCTGTGGCTCAGTCCCAGCCCTGTGAAATCAGGGCCCACGGAGGTCCTGGCACGTGTCAGCCGGGGGCCCTCGGTCCATTTGAAAGTGTTTATGCCTCAAAAACCTGCAGGCACATTTGGGGGTTTGTGTCAGCTCCTACCCAGTTGTAAGAACAACTTTCAACAGCCAAATCTTTGCTGAGCTGAGTTTTGTGTGAT